CAAAAAACCTCTCCAAAAAAAAAAAAAAGAAAAGAAATGGTTAATATAAAGTAAATACTTGTAAGTTACACTTTTAAAATCATTTCATTGATTGAACAGAATCAAATGAACTCCTTTTAGGCTCTGAGGAAACAACAAAGAACAAAGCCAAGCCCCTGTTGCTCCCGGAGTATGCATTTTTTTTTTTAAATGGTTACGTTAAATGGACGGAGCAGGTAGATGCCACTATTGCTATAGCGGCTCAAAGAACGCCTTAAAAAATTATCTTAGAAACAAAACAAAACAAAAACTGCTTGAAGACTTATGTATGGAGGGGAGAATTAAACCAGCTACGGAAACACCTCTAAGAAAACAGCCGCTTCCACCAGTATTTCATTATTTCACCATTTTATCGCCTGGGTCACTGTTATCCTGGCCTATGTTATATACACAGTGGAGGAAGGACTAAGTTCTCGCAACTATGCAAATAGAAAAGTGTGCTTTTGGGACCAGCAGATGGGTAACGGTTACGTCTCTGGACTCCCACGTAGTCGATCACGGTTGGAGTCCCTAACCCAGAGACTTAGGGCACGCCCAAGATCGGGACTGGAGAATGCAGAAAGGATCGCGGCGTGGCCATCCCTCCCAGAGGGTGATTTTCCCCTTTCTGGCTCTGTCGCGCTCTGTCTCTCCTGCGAATGCACGCGCCCTATGACCTAAAAAGTACTTTTTAGAAAAGGCTCTTTTATTTAGACAAGAATCCTACTTCTATCCTGCGCTACTTTTCCCTTTAGTTGAATCCGGATTCTTCCCTGTTGTCGGTGCACGCAGATCCAAGGTGGGCTGGGCATTTCCCCTGTTAGCCACCTTGCGGCCGTCAGTGGCGACCAGTTCAATGTGTACCTGTGCTGATGGGGGTACAGCCCGGACCTTAAAGCTGCCAGAGATCCCAGCCTGGGGTTCTGGATGTGCAGCGTAGCCAGGGAGCTCCCAGGAGTCAGGTGCAGAGAGCCTCGCCCGCCCCGCCCCAATTGCTCAGAGCCGCACCGCTTGTCCTATTGCACTGTTCCGCCCCGCCCCGCCCCGATC